CCATGTTTTTGAAACCTGCGCCCCATAGCTCTATGTAATATTTGACAATTTTGGGTTTCACAGATCAGGGTTATGTAAGTAACAATAAGGAGAGAATTCCTTGTGGCTTTCTCTCGGGTGACTGAAATGTCCACTATCCCCCGCCATCTTTTGCTTGTTAATGCATCCTCTATTGCATGCACCAGAGGCCATTCGCTGCCTAAAGCTGGTCTGGTGCCATTGGTAACTGATGAGCGTCACTCGTGCCCTGGGGGGGGGGTATTCCGAAGGGCAGCCTGGAGGCCAAGCCGTTTGGGTCTCGACATGACTGGGTGTCCTTTGACGTCTTCCCCAGGGCATGCGGCCAGCTTGTTAAAATTGTGCGAGACACGCCCCGATAAATATTCACATACAGAGTTGCATATGCACAGAAATAAATGCATATTTGTCTGTTTTTTTCTGTTAGATGGACATTCATCTACCTATCCATCCAGCAGATATGCGTTCCTAGATTGATAGATATGTATTTATTTCTGTGTAATGCACGTATGTATAATGAATTTGTTTTGGGTCGGGCTTCGCACAATTTTAGCAAACCGGCCAATAGTTACAGAAGTCAATGATTTAAAGTAAACTCCTTTTTAAAGCGATGCATGATTGAAGTGATAAATGGGTTTAATACATTATTTTATATAAAAAAAGAAAGAAGCATATTGCCATACTGTACAGTTCCAATGGTTGTTCTTTTCAAGGGTGTGGGGCATTTGTATGTATGTAATGGCTATGTGTATGTTTCCGTGTGTGTGTGTGTGTGTGTGTGTGTGTGTGTGTGTGTGTGTGTGTGTGTGTGTGTGTGTGTGTGTGTGTGTGTGTGTTGTGTGTGTGTGTGTGTGTGTGTGCGTTTATATTTTAAGGCACTTACATTCGTATTAATGTCTGCTCATATGTGTCGGTAAATACACTCAGATCAGACCTGACATGAACTTATATGCTTAGAATGGCCTTGAAATCTTATCTCAAGGTTAGGTAGACTTCATGACATTCAAAGGAGAGGAAAAGGAGATAAAGACATGAATAAACAAGACAAATGGAAAAACAAAGAAATTACAGAAGAGTCACGAGGAAACGGATCATCAATATAGTAAAGAAAGAAAGAAAAAAAAGATTAGCAGCGTAGAGTTCTTTAAAGTACAAAAGGTCAAAGGTCAAGAGCTGGTACTTAGTGTTCTCCGGCGTCTCATGAGATATAACCCCCCCCCCCAAAAAAAAAAAAAAAAAAAAAAATGCACATCCGTGAACGACTTAAAAGAAAGATGTTTATTTCATGTGAAGAAAAGTGTAAACAGTACTGAAAAATGGCAATATTTTTGTTTACGATTTATTTGTTTATTTTTTCAGCTTGGCGAAAATGACCTTGAAATGTTGACCAACTGAATGCAACATGTCCGACAAACGTGGTTGTATTTCATATTGATATTACCGAGCAGAGTATATATTGACCTCGATAAGTAGGTAGATTGATGAATAGATTAATAAATATGTGAATAAACAAATAGATAAATTAGATTTATAATGATTAAGCAAATTTATGAAATGTAACAAATATTTTGACAAATAAACGAATAAAACAGTGAAAAGAATAGTCATGAGGCCTTCGGAACAGTCATGAGGATAATACATGAAACCACAATGATTATTTTTTGAAGAAACACTATCGTTCAATCCCGTTATAACCTTTCCTGAATGATTTAAAAATCCCATTCATATCCTTTCATAAGTCTTGCCTTTTATTTATTTTTTCTATATTAAGCTTAAGAAACACAGTTAAACTTATTTGGTTATCTTACATATATCAAAATTATGGGGCATATATGACTCTCCAAACAACCTTCTGTTCATGAAATAAACTGTGAATGAATGAATATATATATATATATATATATATATATATATATATATATATATATATATATATATATATATATATATATATATAGTATATATATATATATATATATATATATATATATATATATATATATATACATATATATATATATATATATATGTGTGTGTGTGTGTGTGTGTGTGTGTGTGTGTGTGTGTGTGTGTGTGTGTGTGTGTTGTGTGTGTGTGTGTTGTGTGTGTGTGTGTTGTGTGTGTGTGTATAATGTGTGTGTGTGTGTGTGTATGTATATTTACGAGCATGTATTTGGTACTTTTAATGGTATATAATAACAGCTCAATGGAATGTAGCGTGAGAAAGCTGCTCGTTTTCTGTATTCCTTCGCTACGCTTCTGGGAAAAGGAAGGGAGAAATGAAACAAAGAAGAGGAGGAAAAACAAAGGAGAGGAAGAAGAGGGGAGTATGAAGAAAAAGAAGAGGAGTATGAAGAAAAAAAAAGACGAAGAAAAAAGGTGGAGACAAGAAGAGGAATAAGCAAAGTTAGAAACAAAGAAAGAATGGAGGAAACGAGAAGAAATAAACGAATATAAAAAGAAAAAGACGAAAAGAGAAAGAAAGAGGAAAGAAAATCAGTCGTCCAGTGATTTTGTCTTCTCCGCGACCACCCCGAGTTCCTCCTCCTGTGAAATGAAATCACATCATTACCATTTTACAATCACAACATTCACTATCCACCCATCTTTACAATGCTAATACACCCACTCAATATCCATCAATCCACACCATTATCCACACTACAACTGTGCATCTTTAGTCGACAGTTATTTTATTCCTTGGTTTACGGATCCGCCACTTTTTTCTTTCTTTTTTTTTCCTCGATTTTCGAAAATGAAAATAGCTGAGAAATCGACTTCATTTTTTCCCGCCGCAACTAATCCGATACGATTTGATTCCGATGTGAAAAAAAAATATTAAACTTCAGCCCTGGTGTGGCTGACACTGTTAAATATGGCACCTGCTAGTCTAAACAAAATAGTTTAATGTTTCAAATTCACCAGAAAACTATGAATTTGAAACCGAACACTGAAGCCATAAAGAACCATACGATGTGTGTTCGTGTCCTACAAGTTTAAGAGGTGGACCATTTAAAAAAAAATTCAATTCTGTTTTGTATCTAGTCATTTTTTTTTTTATTTCAATTTTTTTGTTTCTAGTCATCATGCCATAGTATCTGCTGTGGTCTAAGTACAATGTTTACTAGTATTCTATTAATATACCTGATCTGTTTTTCTAGCCCAGTACCTACCCCAGTGGACGATATCTGCTGATGTTTCAAGGATAAAATGTCACCTGCTGTTCTGTATTTCTAGGCTAGTTACCCATAAAAACCTCCACAATCTATGGCATCTGCAGTTTGTCTCAAGTAAAATATGTCACCGGAGTTAATTTTATCTGTGGGTACATCGACGATGATGATTCCAGACGTGATAGTTTTTTTCATCGTGATTTCATTTATTTACCTATTGATTCATTCATTTTTTCTCCATAAATCAACAAACCGTTCAAAAAAAAAAAAAAAAAAAAAAAAAAATCAAAACACCCAATTATTTCCATCTGCATTTTGCTACCGCCTGTCAGAGGTTTTCAGAAACAAAACCCTTGAAGCAAGGAATAAAATAATCGTGTCCCTTATCTATCGCTCGTTCGTCCTCTTTCCCCTTTCGTCTCGGAAGAAGCGTAAACCAAGGAACAAAATAAAATAATCGCACCCTTACCTATCGCTCGTTCTCCTCTTACCCCTTTCGTCTCGAAGAATCGTAAACCAAAAAAATAAAATAATCACGTCCCTTATCTATCGCTCGTTCCTCCTCTCACCCCTTTCGTCCCGGGAGAAGCGTAAACCAAGGAACAAAATATAATAATCGCATCCCCTTATCTATCGCTCGTTCCTCCTCTCACCCCTTTCGTCTCGAAAAACGTAAACCAAGGACCAAAATAAGAAACGTAAACCAAGGAACAAAATAAAAAAAAAAAAGCGTAAACCAAGGAACAAAATAAAATAATCGCATCCCCTTATCTATCGCTCGTTCCTCCTCTTACCCCTTTCGTCTCGGAAGAAACGTAAACCAAGGACCAAAATAAGAAACGTAAACCAAGGAACAAAATAAAAAAAAAAGCGTAAACCAAGGAACAAAATAAAATAATCGCATCCCCTTATCTATCGTCTTCCTCTCACCCCTTTCGTCCCGAGAAAACGTAAACCTTAAGAAACGTAAAAGTAATCACGCATCCCCTTCTATCACGTTTCGTCCTCTCAGAGAAAGCGTAAACCAAGGACCAAAATAAGAAACGTAAACCAAGAACAAAAATAAAAAAAGCGTAACAAGAACAAAAAATAATCGCATCCCCCTATCTATCGCTGTTCCTCCTCTCACCTTTCGTCTCAGAAAGCGTAAACCAAGAACCAAAATAACCAAAATAAGAAACGTAAACCAAGGAACAAAATAAAATAATCGCTTCCCTTATCTATCGCTCGTTCCTCCTCTCACCCCTTTCGCCTCGTGTGAAACGTAAACCAAGGAACAAAATAAAATAATCGCTTCCCTTATCTATCGCTCGTTCCTCCTCTCACCCCTTTCGTCTCGAGAAAAACGTAAACCAAGGAAAAATAAGAAACGTAAACCAAGGAACAAAATAAAATAATCGCATCCCCTTATCTATCGCTCGTTCCTCCTCTCACCCCTTTCGTCTCGGAAGAATCGTAAACCAAGGAACAAAATAAAATAATCGTCTATCGACCAAGGCGTAAACCAAACCAAAATAATAAGAAACGTAAACCAAGGAAAAAATAATCGCATCCCTTATCTATCGCTCGTTCCTCCTCTCACCCCTTTCGTCCGGGAGAACTAAACCAAGGAACAAAATAAAATAATCGTTAAGAAAAAAAAAAAGGAAACGTAAACCAAGGAATAAAATAATCGCATCCCCTTATCTATCGCTCGTTCCTCCTCTCACCCCTTTCGTCCCGGGAGAAGCGTCGTTCCAGGGCTGCTTGTCCGCGCTGATGAACAGGAGGTAGGCGGTCCCGGAGATGAAGTAGACGGCGGAGGAGATGAGGAAAACACTCCTCCAGGCGCTCACGGTTTGCTGGAGGAGACGCGGGGAGAAGAAGTGATAATGATGATAGTGGTAATGATAAAACGTGATAATGGTGATAATAACAATTGAAAATAATGATAATAAGAAAATTGATAATAGTGGTAATGATAAAACATGATAATGATGGTAATGATGATAATTACAATTGAAAATGATGATAATAAGAAAATTGATAATAGTGGTAGTGATAAAACATGATAATGATGATAATAACAATTGAAAATAATGATAATAAGAAAACTGATAATAGTGATAATGATAAAACATGGTAATAATAATGACATAATAAATGATAATGATAATGATAGATAATAAGAAAATTGATAATAGTGATAATGATAAAACATGATAATGATGATAATAACAATGATATAAGAAAATTGATATAGTGATTATGATAAAACATGATAATGATGATAATAACAATTGAAAATAATGATAATAAGAAAATTGATAATAGTGATAATGATAAAACATGATAATGATGATAATAACAATGAAAATAATGATAATAAGAAATTTGATAATTGTGATAATGATAAAACATGATAATGATGATAATAACAATTGAAAATAATGATAAAAAAATTGATAATAGTGATAATGATAAACATGATAATGATGATAATAACAATTGAAAATAATGATACTAAGAAATTGATAATAGTGATAATGATAAAACATGATAATGGTGATAATAACAATTGAAAATAATGATAATAGGAAAATTAATGACAATAATAATAAGAAAATTAATAACAATAATAATAAGAAAATTAATATCAATAATAATAAATACATCATAACAATAATGATAATAACAACAATGATAAAATTATTAACAATAAAAAAAAGATACTACTACTAATAATAATGATAATAATAATAGTAACAATAACAATAATGATAATATAAATGATGATAATGATCACAACAATGATACTGATATTAACAATAATGATCACTGCTACAACCCGAAACCCGTTCTCGCCTTACGTTCCCTTCCGTGATGGCGCCGGTCAGCTGAGGGGCAGCGAACCCGGGTATATTGGCCAGCGTGTTCGTGATGCCGAAGAGAGTGCCGGCGTAATTGGGTGCCAGGTCTTGGTGCGAGCACATGTAGCCCGAGTACATGGCGCCGCTGATGCCAACCACGGCGCAGAGAACCGCTACGGTCATGGCGGCGCTGAGGTCGACGATGCACAGGGTCAGGAGTCCGCACATCGGCCCGTAGGCAGCTGGGGGGGAAGGGGGTGGAGTTAGGGTGGGGGAAGGGGAGGGGGTGGAGTTAGGGGTGGAGTTAGGGGTGGATGGGGAGGGGGTGGAGTTAGGGGGGGAGGGGATGGGGTGGAGTTAGGGGGGAGGGGATGGGGTGGAGTTAGGGGGGGAGGGAGGGGTGGAGTTTGGGGGGGGAAGGGGAGGGGTGGAGTTTGGGGGGAAGGGGTGGAGTTAGGAGGGGAGGGGTGGAGTTAGGGTGGAGGGGGGTGGAGTTAGGGGGGGGAGTTAGGGGGAGGGGAGGGGAGTTAGGGGGGGAGGGGGAGGAGTTAGGGGGGGGGGGAGGCTGTGTGGGTTGGTTTTCGTTATGATGCTTATTATTGGTATTATTCTTATTGTGACTTTTGTTTTTGTTTTTATTATTATTATCATTATCATTGCTGTTATTATAATTATCATTTTATTAATGTCATTATTATTATCATTGTTGTTATCGTTATTATCATTATTATTATTATCATCATTATTGCTTTTTATATCATTATTATTACCATTGTTATTATTATCATTGACGTTAGAACGAATGTCTAAATTGGAGCCGAGTTCATTATGGAGAAAAACTTGTATTACTTAAAAGATCTTATTAAACATCAATGATGATTTCTATGATTATCATAAACTTAAAAAATCTTTTATACATTTTCTCTAAAAATACAAACTAACAAAGCCAAGTTCCACATTTGATAGAAAAAAAGGAAAAACAATTTTGAACGTCAAATCAAAAAAGAATAATTACGAAATTAAACAAATTAACGAATTAACCACAACATCCTTCCTCCTAAACCTAAAATTAGAAACAATGACATAAAATAACTGAATGGAAAATATACATAAAGCATAAAGAAGGAAAAAGCAGAGGAATGGAGAGAGAGAGAGAGAGAGAGAGAGAAGAAAAACTTTGGTAATAGTTGTCGAATCAAAAAAAAGAAAAGAAAATACAGTAACCTCGGTAATGTAAGCAGAAATAGTAATACAAGCAGCATAACACGAGAAAAATACAACAACATTTACAACAGTATGAATAGCGGGATGAGAAGATAATGTAGTCCTATAGACAGCAGTAGTAGTAGCAGCATAAGAAGATAATGGAATAGTGTTAACAAGCTTTTATAGCAGCACGTAATTGGGAACATATCCATTAGTCTCGATAGCAAGCAACATCACAAGAATGAAAAGAAATCATAATATCAGCATTAATATCAACATCATTGCTCACTATCTTCATATTCCTCTCACCAATGGCCATAATATCATAATACCATAATATAAAATCATAATATCAGCATTAATATCATAATATAAAATCATTAATTAAATATAAAATCAAATATTATAATATAAAATCATAATATTTAATATCATAATATCATAATACAAATATAATATCATTAATCATCATAATATATAATATAAAATCATTAATATCATAATATCATAATATAAAATAATAAAATAATATCATAATATAAAATAAAATAATATCATAATCATAACATAAAAAAATAATATCATAACATAAAATAAAATAATATCAAAATATAAAATCATAATATCAGATCTAATATCAATATCACTGCTCCTTATCTTCCTCTTCCTCTCACCAACAGCCATTGAGATCCTTCTGACGCTAAGGACGGAAATCCTGTGGGATACTTTGTGCATGAAGCCACTGTAGCCCATGCTGAAGACCCACATGGTAAGGTAGGGGAAGGCTGAGAGCAGGCCGTTCTGTGGGGGAGGGAGGGAAAAGAGGGAGAGAGAGGGAGAGAGGGAGGGAGGGAGGGAGGGAGAGGGAGGGAGGAGAGGGGAGAGAAGAGGGAGGGAGGGAGAGAGGAAGGGAGGGAGGGAGTGAAGAGGAGAGAGGGCGAGAGGGAGGGAGGAGAGAGAGAGAGAGAAAAAAAAGTTAGTACTGATTTGTATATTTATCATTTGGATTGGCAAATCTCCTTATATATCATTATCATTATTAATACTACTGTAATTCTCATTTTCATCATCACTATCACTAAAATCACCGTCATGCTATCATAACATATCTTCATTTCAATATACATATATACAATTTCGTTTATATATATATTTATTTATTTATTTATTATTATTATTTTTTTTACATATGACGATTATCTTGAAATTACTTATTGTTCTTAGTTCTATTTTGCATGGTATCTCTTCGGAAATCATTGAAACAGCGTATTGTAGCATATATATATATTTTTTTCATTACTATAAGAATTTACTTGGAGGTCATTTGAAGGTTAAAAGCACAACATAAGGTTAGAATCAAGCTCAAAATATGTTGCAGATCTTCATCTCATGCAGTTGGGCTGTGTCTGGTTCTCGTTCTATGTTTGTTTATCTATTTTTGTCATTTTCTATTTTCTCTTTATGTATTTCTTTCTTTGTTTTTGACTCGTCTTCCTCCCTCCTCTTCCCATCTCAGTCCTCCTGTTTGTCTTTCTCTTGAACTCCCCTCTATTTCTCATTTTTTCTTTCAAACTTTACCTCTCTCTCTCTCTCTCTCACACACACAAACACACACACACACGCACACTTACGCACATTCTCCCTCCTTCTCTCTTTTTCATTCTCCCTCCCTTTCTTTCTCTCATTCTCCCTTCCTCTCCCTTTACCCACACACACTTACGCACATACTCCCTCCTTCTCTCTCTTTCATTCTCCCTCCCTTCTTCTCTCATTTCTCCCTTCTCCCTCTCTCCCTTCCTTTCCCTGCCCCCCCCCCCCTTTACCCCGTACTCACACTCTGTATGTCAAATTGGTAAATGTTCTTGAGGTAAGTCGGCAGCTGCGTGATGAGAGTGTAACTGCCCCAGTTGTGTCCGACGTGTGCTATTATAAGCGACCAAACGGGCAGTGACGTCATCATTCCCTTCCATGGAATAGGACCGTTCTGGAAAGAAAGACACACACAAAAAAAAAAAAGAAAAGAAAAGAGAGAGAGAGAGAGAGAGAGAGAGAGAGAGAGAGAGAGAGAGAGAGAGAGAGAGAGAGAGAGAGAGAGAGAGAGAGAGAGAGAGAGAGATATAAAGGCGTTTTGCTTTCACTTGATTTTGATTATTCATATTGAATTTATTAAAATTATTCAAATCCTGTATTTTGGTATTATTAATGAGATACAATTCATCTTGGTAACCCTAGATGAATATATACTTGTATGTATATATTCATCATAATTTATTATCATACAATGTTATTCCTCACCCATCTGACATCACCTTAAAAAAAAAAAAAAAAAACATTATCATCAAAAAAAAAAAAAAAAAAAAAAAAAAAAAAAAAAAAATCCCACAAGGCTGATTTCTGAAGCTTACATTCCCGGGCCTTCTGCCGCAGCGCCGCACGAGGTAGTCCCTCTCCTGCTGCGAAATCCTCGGGTGCGCCTCCGGACAGTCGCTCACCAGCAGGAACCAGAGGGCGCCGCACAGGAGACTGACGCCGCCGAAGACATAGAAGACGAGGGGCCAGCCGCCGAGAGTCCCGGAGGCGCAGAGCCAGCCGGTGACCGGGAGAGCCACCATCTTGCCGAAGTCTAAGCCTGAGGAGGACAGGGGGGGGAGGGGAAGGAGGGAGAGGGATGGGGGGAAGGAGGGGGGAGGGAGAGGGAGGGAGGGAGTGGGGGAGAAGAGAGGGGAGAGGGGAAGGAGAGGGGGGGGGGAAGGCAGAGAGAGGGTGGGATGGAGGGAGAGGGATGGAGAAAGGAGGGGGGGATGGAGGGGAAAGGAGGGAGAAAGGAGGGGAAGAGGGAAGAGGAAAGGACAGAGGGGTGAGGAGGGAGAGGAGGGGGGAGGGGAAGGGAGAGAGGAGGGAGAGGGATGGAGAAAGGAGGGAGGGAGGGAGGGAGGGAGAGGGGGGGAAGAGGGAGAGGGATGGAGAAGGGAGGGGGAGGGCAGAGGAGGGAGGGGATGGAGGGAGAGGGATGGAGAAAGGAGGGGGGGGGGAGGAGAGGGAGGGAGGGAGTGGGGAGAAGAGAGAGGGAGAGGGAAGGAGAGGGGGGAGTGAGAAGAGAGAGAGGAGGGAAGAGGAAGAGGAAGGATAGAGGGGGAGGGAGGGAGAGGGGGCGGGGAGAGGGAGAGGAGGGAGAAAGGAGGGGGGGAGGGCAGAGGGAGGAGGGGGGGGGAGGGAGAGGAGGGAGGGGAAGAGGGAAGAGGAAAGGAAGAGGGGAGAGGGAGGAGAGGGGGAGGGGAAGGAGGGAAGAGAAGAGGGATGGAGAAAGGAGGGGGGGAGGCAGGGAGGAGGGAGGGGGAGAAAAGAGAGGGAGGAAGAGGGAAAGAGGAGGACAGAGGAGAGGGAGGGAAGGAGAAGAGAAGGGATGGAGAAAGGGAGGAAGAAAAAGGATAAGATTGGGAGAGGGAGGGAAAGGGAGAGGAAGAAGGGAGAGGAGGAGAAAGGGAAGGAGGGGGAAGAGGAGAAGAGGGGAGAGGAGGAGAGGGGGGGGAGAAGAGAGAGGGGGAGAAGGGGAGGGGCAGAGGGAAGGAAAGGGTGAGGGGAAGAAGGGAGAGGGATGGAAAAAGGGAGAGAGGGGAAGAGGAGGAAGGATGCAGAAAGGGAGGAAGGGGAATATAGGAAAGGGCAGAGGGAAAGGGAGGGGAAGGGAAGAAGGGAAGAATGATGGAGAGGTATGGAGGGGAAGAAGGGAGAGGAGAAGAGAAGAAGAGAGAGGGATTGAGAAAGGCAGGAGGAAGGGGAAGAGGATGGGAAGAAGGGAGATGAAGAAAAGAAGGGAGAGAAATTGGAGGAAGGTAAAGTAAGACGGAAGAGATGAAGGGTGAGGAATGGAGAAAGGGAGGGATGGGAGAGGGAGGGACGCGGAGGAGAGGGAGGGCGCGAGGTAAGAAGATTTAGCGATGTGCATACATTTATATCTATCTATCTATCTATCTATCTATCTATACATATATATATATACATACATATATATATATATATATATATATATATATATATACATTATACATACATACATACTTGCATGTATGTGTTTTGTGCGTGTGTACATATCCCCCCCCCAAAAAAAAAAGGAATCCCGCACCCACACACGACCTCCTTGCTCCTCACACTCACCTGCGAAGACGACGGTGGAGAACTTGGCTCTGTCTGAAGGCGGAATCCACAGCGAGAGAAGCGCGTTCATGGCGGGGAAGACCACGCCCTGGGGGGACGGGGGGGTGTGTACGGGGTGTCTCTCTCAGAGAGCGAGAGAGAGAGAGAGGAGAGGAGAGGGAGAGAGAGAGAGAGAGAGAGAGAGAGAGAGAGAGAGAGAGAGAGGAGAGAGAGAGAGAGAGAGAGAGAGAGAGAGAGAGAGAGAGAGAGAGAGAGAGAGAGAGAGAGAGAGAGAGAGAGAGAGAGAGAAGAGAAGAGAGAGAGAGAGAGAGCGAGAAAAAGAAATAGAGAAAAGAGATATTTTCTTGTGTTTCTTTCTCTCTCTGTCCCTTTTACAGACCACTCTTTGCCCTACTATATGTACATCCAACAAACAAGGATATATCGGAGATTTAGTCAAATGATAATAAAGATAACAGTGATATTAATGATGAGAATATCAATGATAATAATAATCATAATAATAATAATAATAATAATGATAATAATGAATTAATAATGGAATATTATAATAACAACAACAATAATATTAATGATAATAATATCAATAATAGCAGTGGTAACAAAAATAGTGACAACAATGATAATAAGGATAATGACGATAATGATAATAATAAGAATGATAATGACAATGAATAAACATTTGAATAAAAAAAAAAACGAATAAAGAAATAAAATAAAGTCTAAACCGAGAGAACAAAAAATCTTCTTCAGGACGAGAGCCCCCCAGGGCCCCCTGCCCCTCCCCTCCCCCCTCGCTCCTTACCGACGCCGCTCCGACGAGCATCCTGACGGCGACGAAGAGTGCCGTGGAGGTGGTGGCACTCACGGGCGACAGGAGGGTGAGGACGGCACTCAGCACGACGCCCAGCCCGAACACCTTGCGCCCGCCCAGCCGCTCCGCCGCCCGCCCGCCCGCGATGTTGGTCACGATGTACCCGTAGAAGTAGCTGCCGAGGAGGAGGCCCTGCGTCGACTCGTCCCACGCGAGGGCGCCGCCGGAGGGAGGGGCGGGGGCGGGGCTGCGGGAGGGGGGAGGGGATTGGGGTGGTTAGGGGAAGGAGGGTATGGGGGTGATGACGGAAGGGTGGATTGGGGTGATTAGGGGAAGGGGATGGGGGGTGATTGGGGTGGTTAGGGGAAGGGTGATGGGGGGTGATGAGGGGTGGGGAAGGGATGGGGGTGATGGGGTTGGGGGAAGGGGGATGGGGGGATGGGGTGAAGGGGGATGGTGGGGGGATGAGGGGTTGGGGGGGATGGGGTGATTAGGGGAAGGGGGATGGGGGGGGTGATGAGGGTTGGGGAAGGGAGATGGGGGGTATGGGTGATTAGGGGAAGTGGGGGGTGTATGTAGGGCATTGTGTACGAGTATTATCTCACATACAGAGTTATGAGTGCAACTGATGTGTCTATCTCTCTAGCTGTTTATCTACTTATCCACCTATCTTTTATATGAATATACACCTGCAAACGTGCATATGAATATATATATATATATATATAATATATATATATATATATAATAACATATACACATACATACATATATATATAACACACATTCAAACATGCACAATCTCTCTCTCTCTATATATCTATATATCTATCTATATATATATATATATACATATATATATATATATATATATATATATATATATATATATATATGTATACACACAAGCACACACACACAAATATATCTATCTATATATCTATCTATCTATCTATCTATATATATATATATATATATATATATATAATATATATATATATATAGCGGCCACCTACCGACGCGTTCGCCGCCGCCGCCCCCGTCCGGCGCCGCGACCATGGCGACGATGGCGACGGAGAGGTTGACGCGCATGCATGACGTCACGGCGAAGGCCACGAACCCCACCAGGGCCAGGGAGTCGCGCGCGCGCCAGCACCCGCCCGGCGAGCCTGCAAAGGAGGGGCGTTGGAGACCGGTGCCCAGGGCGTCGGTTTGCAGGGTCACTCACGCAAACACACACACGCAGCACACACAAATACAAACACACATACACAACACAACACACACACACACACACACACACAAACATACAACACACACACACACAGATGCAAACACACACACACATTAACCAAACAAACACACGTACACACAACATGAAACACACTTGAAAAAACACACACAAACACACGTGTGTGGGCATGAACGCGAGCGCGCGCGCACCCGTCCCCCGTGTTCATGCCAGCGCCAAGCACCCGCGCCCAGAAGCCGCCCACCTTCCTCAGCCTTGGCCTCCGTGGGCGCCGCCTCCTCGGCCATCACCAGCCCTCCCAATGCGTCGGTCTCTGAATAATTATCATGTCCCTTTTCTCCTCTTCCTTCCTTCGTATCTTGGTCGCTTCCGGTGGAGGGTGAAATGACCATCCTGGCGGGTTCCTCTTGATGGTTCTTCTGTAATGGGGAAGTAGTATACCTGTTTTTATTGAGATAATGGTGGTTTGTTTGCATGTTTTTTTAACGATCTATATCGTCTATGTTCATTTGTTCCGTTCTTTATCATTCCTATGTCTATTCTTCTAACTGCTAGTTTATATATTGCTATTATCATTTTTTTTATGACTGACCATCATCCTTATCTTGCTTTCATTATCTGATTTTGTTATCGTCGCCAAAATTAGGGACAAAACGACCACGATGCAAGTACTATTACTACTGCCACTATTATCATTATTAACTGCTACTACAATTGTCACTGCTACTACTAATACCTCTATTTCTACTACTACTGATACTTTGTACTACCACTATTATCAACACTGCTGCTGCAACTGCTACTACTACTACTACTTCTACTTCTGTTACTACTCCTACTACTACTTATTACTTAACATTACTGCTACTAGTACCACCACTACTGCTACTTCTGTTACCACTGCTACCACTATTACTTCTACTACTGCTGCTGCTACTACTACTACTGCAAAACTACTACTGTTATTACTACTCTCACCACCACTTCCATTGTTACTATCAATGCTACTATAACTACTACCACTATCAGTACCACTGCTACTACCAATGCTATACTACAACTACAACTACAGTTCCTACCACTATCACTGCTACTACTATAACAATCACTACTGCCACAGCTACTCCTGCAACTACTGATCAAAATAATGAAATAATGACAATGATGATTAACTAATAATAAAAACAAAACAAGTACCTCCTCGTCTCTTGCTAAATTCTCATGAAAAAAAAATAAACAGAAAAAAAACAAGCTTAATATCTTGAAAGTAAGCTGGTTAAACATGCACGCGATCTATCTTGCTTTGTAAGGCAAGCCAAAGCAACATACAATCGTGAAATTTGCCTTTCCAAACAATGTTTTCGAGTTATCTAAAAGCAAGACGTCAGCAAATGAATCAATTATATTCACGATCACCATTAACGTTTTATTATTACATGACAATCACCTACTTCTAAATTAATGATGTCGCAATTTATTAGAGTTAATGACCTCCATTAATTGGAAAAATGTCTAGTGCCATTTTTGGTGCCAGTTATACTCTTTACGTATTTAGTGAGACGTCGCGAGCACTTGGCCGCAGCTCATGAAGAGAGTGCCAGTTCAAGGGTGCCAGATGCTATGACTTGATTTTATCTTCTGTCGTGGCACTTTTGTCATATATCATGAGGTAAATTATCTATTTATCTATTCAGACACATCATTACTTATTTGTTTACTTGTTTTATTTACATTATCTATGATCATTCACATATTTATCTATCTTTACATTCATATATTTCTTCACCTGTCTTTATATTCATATATTTATTCCCCTATCTTTACATTCATTCATTCGTTATCATTTATCTTTCTATTTTTTTTTTTTGGCTTAGATAATGTTAAAGTGGCTGTGTAAATAATGTAAAGTTGGCTGTGTAAAGTAAAGCTGTGTAAATAATGTAAAGTTGGCTGTGTAAATAATGTAAGTTGGCTGTGTAAATAATGTAAAGTTGGCTGTGTAAATAATGTAAAGTTGCTGTGTAAATAATGTAAAGTTGGCTGTGTAAATAATGTAACTGTGTAAAGTAAAGTGGCTGTGTAAATAATGTAAAGTTGGCTGTGTAAATAAAAGTAAATAATGTAAGTTGCTGTGTAAATAATGTAAGGTTGGCTGTGTAAATAAAGCCAAACCAATTTGAATATTGCATTACGTAACACATTGCAATGTCCAAATCTCAAATGGGGGAAAATGACAACTCAAGTTAATAAAGATGATGAAGAACGGTTGATAATGACAATATCGATAATGATGATGATGAAAATGATGAAGATAACAGGAAAATAACAATCAACAACTTTGGCTAAGATAGCAGTTGTGATACCATTAATAATATAATGAAAATAGCCGTCGTTAGATAGCAGACGATATTTGAAATGAGAATAGCAACACTATCAGCAGCAACAGTAATGAGAATAATAATACAAAAGATGATAGGAATAACTATAACAGCATCAATAACAATATTATTGATGATAATGATCATGAGGTTAGCATTAATAATAACAAGGCAATGGTAACAAACTAAAATCAACTATAATGACAATGACAAAAATAACAATGATGTTAGTAACGATGATAAGAACAAAACAATAAGAACGATAATAACAACAATAATAAAGCAATTGATAATTGTAATAATGATGATAATAACGGTAATAATAATTGCGTTGTCCTGACATAACGCAACCTCACCGAACTATCTGAATTACGGTCACTATGCCCCCCGGGACACATTTTCTTCACCCCGGTATGCACAAGGTAGAGCTGCATCCAGAATGTAAACAATAAACCAAGTACCTTTATATCTCAAAACACCAGACTTTCCTTCGCTTCTCTGCCGTGTGGATCGCTTCGTTTCTAATCGCATTTTTTCGGCATTTTGGGCTCTTGATAGGCTCAGACACCAAACTGCGATGGTTGTTAAGGTCTATTTCTTCCTTCGTTGTCACTGCACAGTCTTAAGAATAGCCCAGAATCGACGCAACATCGAAAATGAAACCTTTCTCGCCGCCTTCCTGTCACCGAATGGCCGGGAACCCTCCTGTCAAAGCTAGCGCCCGGACACGCGCATGCGCAGAAGGTTCTCCGGACCGATTCTCGTACAGAATTGCATAAATAAATCCGAAAACACGTAAATCAGGCATAACAACACTAAAAAGTGGCCGTTGAATGCATACATGTGGAATATCAGACACTGATGGTTAACAAAATATTTTGACAAAAGTGCAGTAACACATGAACTACTTGGCATATCACAGTATTCAAAATAAAATACATTTCCCAGAAAACCCCATTTTAACTTATCGAATTTTGATAATATTAATAATGGCAATAATAATGATATAATAATAACGAATAATAATGATGATCATGATAATATTAGAAATAACAATGGTGATAATAATAACAATGATCTTAGTAATAACAATCATTAACAGAAATGATAGCCACGTTAAACACACACACACACACACACACACACACATCGCTTACAAACACGCGCTTAAGTTAGCAAACACGCCCGCATTTCAGAGGTTGCATGCAAGTTGCACAACGCTTACTTCAGCAGCTCCTCAGCGCCTGATGCTTGTGACAGTCCCCTCCTCTCCTCACGGGCGCGGGCGGCCTCACTGACATCTCCTCTGCTGGTTCTTGTGTTTTAATCCCTTGTCCCTCCTTTTACCTCCCCCTTCCCCACCCTTTCCCTCCATCTCCTTCTCCCTCCCACCTTTTACCCTCTCTCTCCTACCCCCCTTCCCCTCCTTCCTGTCCCCTCCCCTTTCCCCCTCGCCTCTCCTACACCTTTTCCCTCCCCTTCCCCTCCTTCTCCTTCCTTCTTCCCTCCCTTCCCCTCCCTTCCTCCTCCTCCTTCCCCTCCCTTCCTCCCTCCCTTCCTCCCTCCTTCCCTCCCCTTCCCCTCCCTCCCTCCCTGCACCCCTCAGCCGTGCCAGAGAAATGTTGCCAACTTTCGCAATGTTTGTCCGTTTTCATCTGTTCCTCAACCAGCCTATTCCGGCCGCCCTTCGCCCATCCGTTCGCCATTATCTCCCCCCACGAGGAAATTATCGCGCTGGACGTAGTTGCATAATTTCCACGCGAGGATTGCCACCCATCGCCTCCCGTGTCGCCGCTGCGCCCGAGTCTTTCGGCAATTTCTTGGCAATTGCCTTTAACAGCCGGGTCATTTTTCTTTTAAAATGATAATATTCTCTCAGCGCAACGGTGCCAGAAACATGTACGATTTATGTGTACGTATTCACGTATACGTACAGAGATACACCCACACGCACATACACACATGTATATGTGTGTGTATACTGTATATATATATATATATATATATATATATATATATATATATATATATATATATATATATATATATATGTATATATTATATATATATATATATATATATATATATATATATATATATATATATATATATATATATATATATTATATATATTTATATATATATACATATACATTATATTATATATATATATATATATATTATATATATATATATATATATATATATAATATATATATATATATATATATATATATATATATATATATATATATATAGTCAAAGAGAGAGATAGAGTAGATAGATAGAGAGAGAGGGAGGAAGAAAGAGACACGGAGGGTGCGGCGGAGGGGAGGAGGGTGGAAGAGAGGAAGGGAGTGAAAGAGAGACAGGAGGGTAGGGAGAGAGATATGTCACTCTCTAAGGATTTCATGTCCCATCCTAATGTTTTCTACAAAGAACAAAATATATATGCAGATGTATGTTAATATTATCTCATGAAGATATATATATGTGTCATTACAAATTAAATATATAAATGGCTTCAGATTGCTTTTGAATTTTAGAGGCGACTGAAATAAATGGAAAATACTCGCAACATCAACATATATCAGCGGGAGAGTTGTTTCTCCGAGAGCTCTTCCTCGTGAGTGACGGCGGGGCAAGCTAAGGTAGTTCTTTCGGGATATTGCTAGCGAGGAATATGGTAATAAATGAATAAGATAATAAATATAATAAATAATAATAAAAAAGGTTTGAGAGTCATTGTAGTTGAAAGATCCAGGAAGTTTGTATTCTGAATTTGAGGCCTGATTATGATGTTACTAAAGCTTTCTTTTTCTCGTCTGAAGAGAGCCTTGGTCGGTGGTCGCCATTATATGGTCAGCCACTAGGCTCCGAACTCCACACTGAGACACATTGTAAGTATAAGTAAATACTTTTTGATGTATTATAATGTAAAATGTTAAATGATAATTAAGTGAAGTGGAAGCGCAGTGAAGTGACACTGAAGTGGAAGTGACTTTACATGTTTTATATAGTGCAAATTATTGCCAAAGACGGTTTTCCTTCCGTAGCCTCCATTTCATTTAATGTGGAAGAATCCTGACTGGACCTCCTTGCACGGCGCCAGTTTACCCGGACCGCATTACCGGGCCTTAACACTCGGTCTCGTTACCTCGGGCTTATTACCCCAGGCAACAGTGATTTTCTTGTGTTCATGCTTTATATATATTGTAAATATATACGATAATACACATTGAAGATATATATACTGCTTGTGTTTACTATCTACCCTTGAGGCAATCTATTTCCCTAGAGGATAATTGAAAAGAACAAAAGGTTAGCTCATGATATTTGAAAACATCAATTGAAATATAATGAAAGACTAAAATATCTCACCAAATGAGAGGGAAACCTTGGACAGATATATTACATAAGTTGGGAAGGCTTTTCAACCTGGATTTAACATTGCCTTTTCCGTGTCTGTAAATCCTGGTGTGTTAAAAGTTAATCCTGGACGCTGCCACTGCGCATACACATTAGAAATCTGGATTAAATTGAATGAAAAGCCTTTTTTGTAGCTTCCCTAAACTCAAAACACTTCGATGCATATTTGGTGGTGTATTTTGATCGCCACAAAACACGATTATAATCGAATTTCCACTGACATACAGTTTTGAAAAGAATAGTTATTTTTCTTAATTTCACAAAAGAGGAATCAATATCATTATTTTTATTACTATTGTTATTGCTGGTATTACAATTATTATTTTATTATTATCAGAATAATTAATGTCATTGTTATTTGTATTATTGCTATCATTATTATTGTTATTAATTCCATTATGATTATGAATATCATTACGATAATCATACTTATTATTATCATTGTTATTATTGGCTTCATTACTATCATTATCAATATTATGATTATCATTATCATCATTATCATCACTATTATCATAATTATCATGCTTCTTATTACTATCATTGTTATTACTATAATTACTACTACTATTATTCTTACTGTAATTATTATTATTATCAATATCATCATTATCATATTATTGCTATTATTATCATTATTATATTATCATTTTTTTATTATTATGATTATTACTATCATTATTATCATATCATCATTGTTATTATTGTTATTTTTATTATTATTACAATTATTATTATTATTTATCATTGCTATCATTATTACTATCATTTTCTTTATCATCATTATTATCAATGTCAGTACAATTATCCCCAATGCTATAATTGCTATAATCATTATCATTATCACTTTTATCATCATTATTACTACTATTGCTATTATTACCCTTATTGCTATTAATAATACCATCAATATCATCCCTAATAACATTGCAACAGCAACTACTATCTTCACGCTATTATATCCTCATTCCCATTCCCATCATTACCATTATCATCACTGTTGTTGTCATCATCATATTCCTTATTTTCACTACCATTAGTGTGCTGTGTCGTAGTTGCAGTATTCTCGTCTTGCAACCTTCCCAGCCGCTCCTTGCACAAAGGGGGTAATTTAGAAGCAAGAATACACAGACAGCTTAGTACACCAAGGATAACCATTGTAACAGATAGAATAAGATTGAATTAAGAAAATGTATGTATTCTTATTATTGTTAATATGATTATCATTATTATCATCATCATCATCATTATCATTGTTATCATTATGATTACTATCATTATCATTATTACAAGTACTTCTATTCTTCTTATTATCACTATTATTATGGTTACTATTGATGTTGTTATTATCATTATCTCATTACTATTATTGTTATTACTATCATTATCATTATGATTATTTCTATCATTATCATTATGATTATTACTATCATTATTATTATCCTTATTGTTATTATTGTTATTGTCATTACTATTATTGGTATTATTATCACTATTGTTTTTTTGTTATTAATATTACCATTAATATCATCATGGTCATTATTATTGTCATTCATATCATTACTATTATTATTATTTTCATTATTGTCATCATGATTACCGTTATAATAATTAGCATCATTATCATAGTAATATTATTACTATTGTTATAGTTATTATTATCAATGTTATCATTATTAACATTATTTTTATTATTATTGTTGTAGTAGTAGTAGTAGGAGCAGGGACAACAGCAGCAGTAATAGCAGCAGCAGTCGTAGTAGTAGTAGTATCATTATTACTAACAATACTTGCATTGTCAACATCAATGCCATTATCGTCATCAGTTATAGGATTGTCATTATCATCATTTTTCATTATCATCGTCATTAGCAGCAGCAATTCCTTCATTTTGTGCATGTGTGTGTTGGTATGTGTCCGTGTATGTGTGTATGAGTGTGTGTGTAGATGTGAGTTTGTGTGTGTATGCGTGTGTGTGTGTGTATGTGTGTGTGTTTGCACGTGTGTGTGTGCGTATGTGAGTGTGTGTGTGTGTGTGTGTGTGTGTGTGCGTGTGTGTATGTTTATATGAGCGTGTGTGTGCACGTGCTGTGTGTGTATGTGTGTATTTGTGTTTATCCTTTATTAGGTTTTATCGTGCAGTCATCCCCCCAGCAATCCCTTTGCTGTGTATGAAGATATTCATCAAACTCACAAATCTTTCTCTCTATGACTGCCTGAAAAGCAGCGAATCCGGTTTACTTGGATGTTTACTCAGATATTACTCATATAATTAGCAAAATTTCCACTATGAACGACATTTTTTTCCTTTTGAAAAATACTGTTCTTCGTGACTACCTGTTAAAGAAAGAAAAAGAAAAGGAATTGAATCCTAAGAAAAGAGAGAGAGAGAGAGAGAGAGAGAGAGAGAGAGAGAGAGAGAGAGAGAGAGAGAGAGAGAGAGAGAGAGAGAGAGAGAGAGAGAGAGAGAGAGGCAGGAAATCTTAAAAAGAGGAAGATAAAAAGAAGAAAGGAATTCAAGAAGAAATAGAAAGAGAAATCGAGAGGAATTTACTCCCAAGGAGACAAAGACTACAACAGAAAGGGAACCGAAGAGAAACACAAGAAAAGGGAAGAAAGAAAAGAGAAAATGGACGAAACAGCAACAATTGGTAAAAGAGGAGCGAAACAGACTCGGATTCAAGGTCGAGTTGATAAAGGCCTGTCGTGATACCTCTCTCTCTCTCTCTCTCTCTCTCTCATTCTCTCTCTTTCTCTTCTCTCTCTCTCCTCTCATTCTCTCTCTCTTTCTCTCTCTGTCTTCTCTCTCTCCCTCTCCCTCTCCCTCCTCTTCTCTCTCTCTCTCTTCGTCCTCTGTACTTTCCTCTGAAAATATTAATGCCAATAGCAAAAACAAAAAAAAAAATAATTGTTCATTGCAGATGGTGAGTGAGGATTGGATTCCATTCGGGTCACGTGGAGTTAGTTACAGAATTACTGATTAATTCTCTTTCGTAAGAATATGATCATGTTATATGTATATATATATATATATATATATATATATATATATATATATATATATATTATTATATATATTATATATATATATACATATATATATATATATATATATATATATATATATATATATATATATATATATATATATATATATATATATATATATATATATATATATATATATATAATATATATATATATATATATATATATATATATATATATATATATATATATATATATGTGTGTGTGTGTGTGTGTTTGTGTGTGTCTATGTATGTACATAGATAAATAGATAGATAGATATAGATATATGTGTATATGTATATATAAATATGGACATGTATATATAATATATATATATATATATATATATATATATATATATATATATATATATATATATATATATATATATATATATATTATATATATATATATATATATATATTATATTATATATATGTATATCTTATGTATGTATATATAAACACACACACACACACACACACACACACCACACAGTATATATATATATATATATATAATATATATATATATATATGTGTGTGTGTGTGTGTGTGTGTGTGTGTGTGTGTGTGTGTGTGTGTGTGTGTGTAGATTTATTATCATCGTTATGATTCCTTTTTGTTTCCCATCTTTTCACCTTTTTATCATTGACTTTTTGTTTGTCATGAAAAGAAATAAAATAGTAAAAGCAAACCATCTATTCTTCTTGTTTATTCTGGTGTTGACAAAACTATATAACTGTTGTTTGGACTGGACACTGCTTATCAAACAGCATATATTGTCTCCAGTGAAAGCAAGGAAAATCAGAACAATAACGTTTTTTGTATAAGAAATGGACGTAACTTAAAATGTCATCCCTACACAGGTACCTTTAGGTGGTGCACTGGACTCAGGAGACATGGATAGAATACATGTCTGTCTATCTCTCTATCTACACACACACACACAGATACATATGTATCTATATATACATATGCATATATATTATATATATATACCTCGGGCTCATTACATCGTCTCTCGCCCTGGGTCTCCTTACCCAGGGCTGATTACATCGTCTTCACGCCTGGGTCTCCTTCCAGGGTTTGATTACATCGTCTCACCCCTGGTCTCCTTACCCAGGGCTGATTATATCGTCTCTCACCCTGGGTCTCCTTACCCAGGGCTGATTACATCGTCTCTCGCCCTGGGTCTCCTTACCCAGGGCTGATTACATCGTCTCAGCCCTGGGTCTCCTTTAACCCAGCCTGGTCTGCATTACATCGTCTCTAGCCCTGGGTCTCCTTTTACCCAGGGCTGATTAGCATCGTGCTCCGCCCTGGGTCTCCTTACTAAAAAGGGCTTGATTACATGTTCTAGCCTGGGGCTCCTTACCCAGGGCTGAATTATATCGACTCAACGCCCTGGGTCTTCCTTACCAGGGCTTGATTACATCGTCTCTAGCCCTTGGGTCTCCTTACCTGGCAGGCTTGATTCATAATCTGGACTCATCAGTCCGGAGGTATCCGCGCTTATCGCAGTGCAACAGTGAGTTGTTCTTGTGTTTTCATGCTATAGTATAGAAGCAGGTGGGTTTTGTAAATTGGATATATAAGGCGCTAATTGACACATTTGGAAGATTATCAACGTATTACCTAGCTGTTGTGTCTAGAATATTAGCCCTTGAGGCTAATCTGCTCCCATGAGGATAGAGTTGATAAGGAATATCAAAAAGGTAGAAGGATCATGTATATTTTGGAAAATCATCAGCAACTTGAAACTATAGTCAGGCTGAATGACTGTGAAGTAGTCTCACAAATGAGAGGGTGGACCTTTGGAGCAGATTATGATGTACATAAGTGGGGGAAGGGCCTTTCAAGAGACCTGGAGTTATGAACATGCACCTTTTCGCGTCTGTGATGAGATTCTAGGCGTCTGAGGTTAGGGTGAGAGATGAGGATAGCAGTCCAAGGACGACTGACATGTGCCGCATGTTACGACGATTTGATGGAAATCGTGGATTAAGATTAGGAATCAAGGCTAAGGATCGCAGTGATCTAGAATAAATTTGATAGTCTGTGCCCATATGAGTGGGGACTCAAAACACTATCGGTTTGGAACTACTGTGTGTGTGGAGCAGTGTGCGATTTTGTTTTGGTTACGGGGTGTCTACGAAGGAAAACACGGGCGATATGGATAATCGTGAGAATTTCCACTGAGGACAGTAGGAGAAAGAAGCAGTTTGTGAAAGGAAGAATTTATGAGGTTATTTTGTCTTATAATTGTGGAGACACAAAAGAGAGAAGTCAGATAAGTTAAAGTATATTTTAGGATCGTGCATCTACTTGTTATTGCTGGTTATTGACAGATATAGGTATAAAAAAACTTTATATGATTGTTCGAAAGAAAATTGATCAACTGTCATTGTTATTTGTTATGTATTGCTATCGATTATTATTATTATTAATTTCATTATGATTATGAATATCATTACTGATAATTATAGTTTTATTATTATCATGGTTATTATTGGCTTCGATTACTATGGTATTGATCAATATTTATGGATTATCGATGTATCATCATCATCATCGCTATTTATCATAATTAATCATGCTTCTTGATGTATATCATTGTTATTACTATAGATTATACTATGAGCTATGTTTCTTACTGTAATTATTATTATTATCAATATCATGCATTATCATATA